GATTTTTAGAAAGAAAAGAAAGGAGAAGGAGCGAGAGAGAGAAACATTGATGTGAAAGTGAAACATAGATTGGCTGCCTTCTGCACTCCCCCTACTGAGGACTGAGCCCTCAACCCAGGCATGTGCCCTAATTGGGAATTGAACAGGCAAACTTTCAGTGCATGGGCCAATGTCCAACCAACTGAGCCACAATTAGCAAAAGCACTTGAATTTTTAGGCTGCAAAAAGAAAATACTTTTCAAACAATTAAATATCAATTAATTTTCTAATAGAACAATTCACTTAAAGCTTTGGCCACACCTTGTTTTGAGTCCTGATATTTTTCTTAATGTAAGTTTTTTGCCTTTACTTCTCCATATTTTATTAATTTTCTAGCATACTAACACTACTTTCATAAATAGTAAAATGAAGAAATTTTTAAAACTGAGGAAAATTTTATTTTTTTTAAAAGTTATTACCAACTTTGATTTAGTCATTGGTCTCTGAAAACCTTTTAAATTAACTTATATAAGTTATGAACAGATGAAAATGGAATTTTGATGAAGCTTCATAAATTTGAGGCCATGCCATTTGTCCTTTAGATTTCTGCTGCATAAGAGCTAGTGTACAAAATCTAGCTATGCAAAAATCTATTGGTAACTATATGCATTTAGTTACTGAGACCTCATTTTTTAAGGTGATAATGGTGATACAAAAATCATTAATGTTCTTCAACCATTATTAATCCCCAAAGTAAAAATGAATATTTATTCTCAGGAACAATAATCTTTAAATGGTATTTAAACTTTACTGGTATAAACGATTAGTCTGTAAGAAAAATCACATTATTATTCAGGTTTTAGTTTTTTCTATGACTACAAAGTGAGGCCTGTGTGTGTGTGTGTGTGTGTGTGTGTGTGTGTGTGTGTGTCTATGTGGTTGGGTAGTGGGAAGAACTGCTTCTACTTTCATCTGTATATTTATCTGATGCCTTTTAGAAAATATACTACAGCCAATAATGTTACTTCTCCCACACATCAAGTTCATAGTACTCCTGAAACTCTATCATGAGGAATATTCTATTATTATACCCATTTTATAGATGGGGAAACTGAGACATAAAGAATTTAAGAATCTTCCTTAAGGTTTCTTAACTAGTAGGTGGCAGAGCTAGTATATAAACCCTTGTTATTTGTCTCTAGGATCAAATCAATCATCACACAATCTAAGCTCATCTAATATCAACTACTATGAGTAAAAGGACTATATAAGATGTCAAGCATCAAAATAACTTAGGACAATCTAGATCACATAAGTCCTCTGAAATAACTACTGTAAATTACAAACCCTGAAGTGATTTTCAGAATTACTAATCGCTTGCAATGTTCTTCACATGTGCATCCAGAATATCAGGCATATAGGGGTGAGGACAGCTGCAAAGATTTATGTTTTAGGAGAAAGTTTTTGAAGCTGGGAGTTGGAAGGCCTGAATTTTAGCTTTGATTCCATCACTTAATCTAATCAATAGCTTAACCTCAGGAAAATTACTTAAATCTTCTAGATATGATACTTTCTTTGATCTTCTGCACAGAATTGAAAATAAATGGGAATAGTGCAAGAGTGTTCCCTTTTCTCTGCATCCTCTTTAGTACTTGTCGTTTGTTGATTTGTTGATGATAGCCATTCTGACAGGTGTGAGATGGTACCTCATTGTTGTTTTGATTTGCATTTCTCGGATGATTAGTGACTTTGAGCATGTTTTCATATGTCTCTTGGCTTTCTGAATGTCCTCTTTCGAAAAGTGTCTATTTAGGTCCTTTGCCCATTTTTTAATTGGATTGTTTATCTTCCTTTTGTTAAGTTGTATGAGTTCCCTATAAATGTTGGAGATTAAACCCTTATAGGTGATAACATTGGCAAATGCAGACTGGTGCAGCCACTATAGAAGATAGTATGGAGTTTCCTCAAAAAGTTAAAAATGGAATTCCCATTTGACCCAGTGATCCCACTTCTAGGACTATATCCCAAGAAACCAGAAACACCAATCAGAAAGGATATATGCATCCCTATGTTCACAGCAGCACAATTTACCATAGCTAAAATTTGGAAACAGCCTAAGTGCCCATCAGTAGATGAATGGATTAGAAAACTGTGGTACATCTACACAATGGAATACTATGCTGCTGTAAAAAAGAAGAAATTCTTACCATTTGCAAAAGCATGGATGGAACTGGAGAGCATTATGCTAAGTGAAATAAGCCAGTCAATGAAAGAAAAATACCACATGATCTCACTCATTTATAGATAATAAAGACCATTATAAACTGATGAACAAAAATAGATACAGAGGCAGAGCAGCATCGAACAGACTGTCAAACTACAGCGGGAAGGCCGGGGAGGGTTGGGGGGGGCGGGTAAGAGATCAACCGAAGGACTTGTATGCATGCATATAAGCATAACCAATGGACACAAGACACTGGGGGGTAGGGGAGGCCAGGGGAAGGTCAAGGGGGGAAAAAAAGGAGACATATGTAATACTCTTTGTAATACTTTAAGCAATAAAACAAAATTTAAAAAAATAAAATAAATGGGAATAGTGGAAAGAAAGAACTAATCAATAAAAACCAATATGCCAAAAACAGTACAGGCATTCCTTGGAGCTATTTTGGGTTTGGTTCTAGACCACCACAGGAGAGCGAGTATCACCAGAAGTCAGTTGTAATTTTGCTGGTGGAGGGTCTTGCCTTCAATATGTACAAAACACATCTATGGAGTCTTTCAATATGTAAAAAACACATCTATGGAGTCCTTCAATTTATAAAAAACATCTATAAAGTACAATAAAGTAAGGGCAAAAAAATGAGGTATGCCTGTACTGTTACAATTGGTTGGGTAGGGATGGTTTACAAGGGTCTCCACTGTACTCACATGAGGGGCAGGCAACTGATGTTCACATTTCGCCCCTCCTTCTCTGCTCTAGCAGCTACACAGTGTAAAGCATTATTGGTACTTTCTCCTTTCCTCCAATTAACATGACTTTAATCATTGTTTCTTTTATCATTTCAACTAATTCCCGAGGTGAAGAACTCACAATTCTTTATACAATGAGTGGTATTCCCAAAGCAAATCATGTGATTTTGTAGAGAATTATTTCTGAAGTCATACAGAGTACAGAATGATGCCTCACTAAAAGCATTTCATCAGTTTACTGATTAATGCTGGAGTTAAGTTTCTGTGTAACCTACTGTTATTTTACTTCTTCAAATCACTTTCAACTTACTGGCTTCATACGAGTCAAGTTATAGATACTCTACTTTAGATTATCATATTTATATGTACATCAGACAAGCATTCTAGATTCAGAATGACATGTTGCAAAGTCAAGATCTCTATGTTTTATAAATATAAACTAGTTGTTCATGGGTACTTTAGTTTACAAAGGGAATTTTACATTGGAGGTAAGTTAGCTTAGCTATTCTGTATGAAAATTTAGTTCTCACTCAATGTCTACTGTAGAGGCAGCTCATATGCCTCCTTTCTTCTTAGGAGCTGCAGCTCGCAGCCTAGGTAGCAGAATGTTCCTAGTGCTGCATGAAGTATCACCTCAGGAAGTGGCCTCAAGGACTGAGCATCAGCACTCCAACATCAGGGACTGAGCATCAGCACCCCCAACAACAGGGACTGAGCACCAGCACCCTCAACATCAGGAGCACCGCACCAGCACCCCAACATCAGGAGCACCTCCATTTGGCAGTGAAGGTATGTGAAAGCCAGGGCAGGCTATCCAACTTTTAAGAGAATTTTTAACTTAAAAAGGCAGATATATAGAAACTGTGTCTAAAATGGAATAGGCATACTTATTCTCTAAGGCTGGGAAAATTCTTATAGCTCTAGGTAATGAAGCGAACCTTTCAAGGTAGGTCCTTCCTGAGGAGTGATAACACTGGGTGCCCCTTCCTGGTGGAGTTCTTTACCCCTGGCTGTTGATTTAAGCCATCTGCTCTGGCAGTGGCCAAGTAAACCTTCTAGGTCATGGCTTATTTGTTCTGTTTTCCAGATCTATTTAAATTAAGCATTTACAAATGGCATCATTAGTTTTAAAAGCATATTGGTTATATATTTATTAGATAAAAATTAGCTTAAACTCTATATATTATACTTATGTGTGTATGTATAATATTATACATAGAAATTCTGCTTTAGTGTATTAAAGCAGAAGTACATAAAAAAAGGAAACAGTAAATTCTACTATTCCTCAGTCACAAATCAAACCTCACTTTCTGAAAATCAAATCGATTCCTTATAAACAGAGGATTTGGAGATAGTTCTATTAACATGAATAAAGATTTGTTTTTTTTAAAAAAGGGCCACAAGATGAGCATTTAATTAACACACACACATACATACACATAGAAACACACACACACACACACACACACACACACACACACACACACACACACTTTAGGCTATTGAAACATAGTCTTTAATTCTCTATTTAAAAACAAACACAACAAACACTGATTACAAGCTTTAAAACCATTTGAAGATGTGAAAGACTGTCTGCATTTCAGCCTACTTCAAAGCCAGTAAAGAAATCATTTCTTCTTCTTCCAACTCAAAGTATGTTTAGGAGCAGGAGGACATCTGATAGAAGTGGTATTGCCAATCTAACCAATTTTAAAATATAAAGTGCTTCTAGCAATATTTGGATACATATAATTTGACAAAAATGTTTTATAAACCTAAGCTTTGAAAAATAGAAAATATAAGCTCCAACGAAAAAAGCATAATTTGTGATTGAAAGAAAATAATATTTTGTAGAAAAAAATTGTCCTTCCAAAAAGAGACAAAAATGACTAACTTTTATTTCCCAAGAGAATTATGCCACTTTTATACAACAAAATTACAGTCACCACAAATTGCTTTCAACAATTCCATTGCTTCTTCATTTGACCACTTGAAAATCAAAATTCTTTCAGATTATAAATATAACTTTTTATAACTCTGTTATTACGTACTGTGAATGGGGAAAGGGGGCCAATCTTGTGGCCGTAGCGCCGAATGGCCTCTCTGATGTGGCAGGGCTGGATGGCATCGCTGTGAGCCTCAACACCACAGGCCGCAGTGCTCTGCGACAGAAAAACACATAAATTGTTACTAAATCAAAAACACACAACAGAACTACAGTGTATAAAATATGAAAATAAACTTTTATAAAAATGGACATATTTTTCCCTTAGGATGCACATCACTGCTGCCATACACTACATCTAAAAAAATTCCATGAACAATTCCAAGATGACTTGCACATGACCCCTTCTGAGCAGACCTACCAAATGCAATAGCTATGCTCACGATATTTCGCCTAGGCCCGCGTCAAGGTACAGGAGAATGCAGCCACTTGCGCGCACGTGGAGTCTCAGCGGCTTGCTGAAAGAACCACAGGAAGCTATTTTTTTTTTAACATTCAAACATATAAATGTTTCTTTGGAACTTGTGCATATTTCTGAAATAACTTAAAGTTCATCAATTTTAAAATGAAAAAATTGCTACATATTTATTTCTAATGTGAGGACTGTCATAAAAGATCATTTCAACTTGGTGCTAATTTCTAGGTGTTCCTCGTGGCAAAAGCAAAATAAAATAAAAATTTTCTATTTTAGTCTGTCTCAACTGTAAAAAATAGTACAAAAAGACACGAGAGAGAAAGACTATTTGCAATGAGAGTATGGATACCAAGAAATGTATATAATATGATTAAAAAATTTTAAATGCACAATAGGGACATGATAGTCTCATGGTTCAGTCGCAGGCTCCAGCTTCCCAACCAGTTGGGTCTGTATCCTGTCAGTTACCAACTCTGTCAAGTTATGTAATATCTCTGCACTTCAGTTTCCTTGTTGCAAAACTGGGATAATTACTATAATTGCTTTATAGTATATTGGATACCAGATGTCAGATCATCAACATTAAAGAATCAAGAGAAGGAAGAGGTAGCTTGTATATTACTATAAATATGGTCTAGGAATCATTTGTAGTCACATAATGAAGAGTATTTGTTTTTCTGATAATTACTACAATTACCACTCTCATAACTCCTCGTAAGGATATAACTAATACCACCTCCATGTACAGTAATTTGGCAAAATCTTATCAGCCCGACCAGTGTGGCTCAATGGTTGAGCATCAAACCATGAACCAGGGGGTCAGGGTACATGCCCAGGTTGCAGGTTCGATCCCCAGTAGTGGGGGTGCAGGAGGCAGCAGATTGATGATTTTCTCCCATCACTGATGTTTCTATCTCTCTCTCCCTCTAAAATCAATTAAAACATATTTTTTAAAAATCTTACCAAAATGAAAAAGCACAACTATTTTTTCCCAGTAATTTCACATATAAGAATTTATCCAACAGATATATCACACCAGTATAAAATAATATACATACAGTATAAGGATCTTCACTGGCTTGATGAACTAAATCTTTATTAATGAGGAAACATTGAAATAAATTATATCTTTTCAATGAAACAGAAACCACCAAAAAGAATGAGGCAGTTGCAGACATATTCCTACTGAGCTCCGTACATATTCTATCTTTAAGATTTATTGTGTGAAACAATGCAACGTATACAACTAGGTGGTACCATGTTACCACTTGTTTAAAAAAAAAAAGCAAAAAAGGGCTAGACATGATATAGTCATAAAAGCATAGAGCATTTTTGCAAGGGTACACCAAAACTCAGCAACAGCGCTTGACTCTTGGAGGGTAAATGTGTGGCTGGAGGACAGGGGTTAGAGGAGAAACTTTTTACTGTATATCCTTCTGTACTTCAAAAATACATTTCTGTACCTTGTGCATGCTTTTCCTTTTACAAACTAGTAAAATAATTTAAAAATTCCTACAAAACGAGAGCATCTGCTAATTATCCAAGCTGAATCTGAAATAAGACTTAAAATTTCAAACAAAATACATCTTGATTATTTTTACTATTTTCACAAGATTTGAAATAAGCCAAATAGAAATTTACTCTAGGGTACCTTTCTCAATTTCATTCCAACAATATCCTAAATAACATATCTGCTATGCCCACAATAACATGGATTAAGTTATATAACAACACAGGTTAAACCCTCACTTTGGCACTGATATAGAAGTGCACAGGGTTTTTATTGAGTGCTTTCTCAATTCTTATTCCAAATACTTTGTTTCAGTTGGACTATATTAGAATAATGCAATTATCAGGTGCCTGACTAAAATAAAGACACTTTTGAGAGTTCATTTGGCTCCAAAATGTGAATAAGACTAATATTCAGAGGTGGGAAAAAGTAGATTTACAGTTGTAATTTAAATAAATAACACAATAATCCTATCTAATAAAAGACAAAAAGGGTAATTAACCGTACCTCCGCTACGCTTCCCATTGGCTAATCAGGGCGATATGCAAATTAACTGCCAACAAAGATGGTGGCCGGCAGCCATGCAGCTGAAGCGAACATGAGGCTTGCTTTCTCCAGTGATGGAGGAAGCCAAGGTTCCCCGCCTGCCGCGGCCAGCTCTGAGCTCCGGAAGCAACAATGTTTCAATTATGGAAGCTAAACAAACTCCAGATACCTGCTTTCAGCCAGCCGTGGCCTCAGAGCTGGGAGCGCCAGTGACGGTAACAATATTTCAATTATAGAAGGTAAATAAATCCCAGAATAAAAAAAAAAGAAAAAAAGGAGAGGCTGGGAGCTTCAGTCGCCAGCCAGCCTGAAAACGGCCCTCAGCCCCTCACCCAGACTGGCCAGGCACCCCAGTGGGGACCCCTACCCTGAAGGGGGTGTGGCCAGCTGCAAACAGCCATCAGCCCCTCACCCAGGCTGGCCAGGCACCCAAGCGGGACCCCCACCCTGATCCGGAACACCCTTCAAGGCAAACCAGCCGGCCCCCACCCGTGCACCAGACCTCTATCCTATATAGTAAAAGGGTAATATGAAAACTGACCCTAACAGCAGAAAGACTGGGAATGACTGGTCACTATGACACACACTGACCACCAGGGGGCAGATGCTCAATGCAGGAGCTGCCCTCTGGTGGTCAGTGCGCTCCCACATGGGGGAGCTCTGCTCAGCCACAAGCCAGGCTGATGGCTGCCAGTACAGCGGTGGGGGTGGGAGCCTCTCCTGCCTCCTCAGCAGCGCTAAGGATGTCTGACTGCAGCTTAGGTCTGTTCCCCACTGGCAAGTGGACATCCCTCGAGGGCTGCCGGGCTGCCAGAGGGATGTCTGATTGCCATCTTAGGCCCAATCCCCTGGGGAGCAGGCCTAAGCCAGCAAGTGGTTATCCCCTGAGGGGTCCCAGACTGCAAGAGGGCACAGGCCAGGCCTCTAGTCCTATATAATAAAAGCCTAATATGCAAATTGACTGAATGGTGGAATGACCAGTTGCTATGATGCACACTGACCACCAGGGGGCAGACGCTCAATGCAGGAGCTGCCCCTAGCCCTCAGGCCACCCAAGGCGGGTGCCAGCGGGGGCCCCCCAGATTGCCCCGCTGGTCGCCCTGCAGTGGGAGGCAACTGGTGGCAGTGGCGGGGGGCGGGACTGGCAAGCGAGTGGTGCCAGGCCAGCCAAGGTGGGTGCCAGCAGGGGCCCCCTGATCGCCCCACCCATCGCTCCACAGATTGGCCCTGATCGCCAGCTATGCCAACGGACCCTACCCATGCACGAATTTCCTCCATCAGGCCTTTAGTTAATAAATAATAATACAAGAATAAACTCTTTTTTTGAGTACTCACAACTGTTTTGCCTACCTCTGTAGACTCATTAACCTGCTAGATCTAACAAATGCTTATGAAGTAAGTTAGGCATTCTATCCATTTGTAGAAATTAGTGCAAATATTTAGCTCCACTTGGAATCTAAAGTAAGTTTTCCAGTGGAAACTCAAGTGGGAATAAAAAGAGAGACAGAAAGAGTGCCGACATCCTGCACATGAAGTGGGGTGGGAAGTCCTTCCTGTGCATTCCTGTATGGCCTCTCCATTCTCCCTGCAAAGTGAATTTATTTTTCATTTCTTTTTTTCCGGGTCCATGGAGAGTTTACTCTTTCTATACTTTCCAAAACAAGTTTGGTTTTGGTATAGAGCACTTAGTCAAAATCTCTCAGAACCTCCGCATGGCAATCAGATAGAATTTGCGAAAAATGAAGTAGGAAGCATAATTAGAAACTACCTGTGATTCCTACATGTATGATATGAAGACAGTTATGTCAGCCTGGTGAGTCATGTCATCTATGCCAAAAAGATGAAGTTGACTTATATAAAAATATTGAATTTTGTGAAAAATGTCTTTAGATTTCCATTTTGCCAATTTCAGGTTTACCTACTATACATAAGCAACTGTAAACATTAGCATAAAATTACCATGTACATTTCTACATTATACTGACTTGCCCACTGGACTCTTTGGAAGGAAATCTTTAAATCGCAAATGTTTATTCCCAGTATTGTTTCCACTTCAACACATATCTTTACATTCTGTCAACATCCAGTCTCTCACCAAGGTACTGTTCAAATTCCAAATTCATACCAAGTTTAGAATTTTTAATTTAGAAGTGATTCTAGCATTTTTGCAATGTTCTTCAAAACGTTTTCAGAAGAACTAGCATTACATTTATATATTTATAAATAAATATTTTTAAAATTTTATATATGCTGAAAACACATATAAAGAGTATTAAATTTTTGCATCAATTCATGTTTTCTATTCAGATTGTGCCCATATTGTAGAATATTCTTTACATTTTCAAAACTGAACCCCTGTACTTGACAAAATACTGATTGCCAAAATCTCTGTGGGGACTAACTCTTTATTTCCTTGCGTAAAGTACAAGCTACTGGTAAAGTTCTTCATTAAGTCAGGTCCTCTTCCTCTTGGCTGCATCCCTAGTCTATTCTTGTATTCCTCCATTGCATTTCTATTTATGTCTCTTCATCCAGAAATTGATGCTGGGTAATGGAGGCTAAAGTCCTCTATATTTCCTGGATTTGAGTAATGTCCTTTTACTGGTCCTTTCTGTCTTGCACCGAATAAAATCTCTTGCAGTTTGAACGCTCATTTGTGGTACAAGAAGTTATATTGAAATTTCTG